CTTCATGTAATTACAAACAGTAGGGATTATCAATGTATAATTCCGTATGCAAATACTAATAAAATCCCGTTGGCAATATAAGCCGCCTTAAAACAATAAAAAAAAAAAAACGAAATAACTTACTTCTTTCAAGAAATTAAAATTATTTCCCTTATTATTGGCCAAGGTCTTGAGCGCACAGATGCTGGTTGGTTCACGTACTCTTACATAATTATTTTCATCACCATCAATTTTTGGTACACCATTCAACAAGGTTGCCGAATATACAGAGCCACTACCAATTTCTTTAACATTAGACAATTTATCAATGGAATCCATCCAATGGCATCTTCATATTTTCTGGCTCTAAGTTTAAAAATCATGATATGTAAAATAAATTATAGTAAACTTGCAATTTATGGAATAACTAAAAATATGAAAAAAAACGAATACTTGATGGTATTTCAGTATGCTGATAAAGGAAGTCTTCATAAATATTTAAGAAATAATTTTAGAGACCTTACTTGGCAAAATAAATTGCAATTACTTAAGGATATTTCACTTGAATTATTTTATATTCACGAAAATGCAGGATACATTCATACTGACTTTCTCAGTGGTAATATTTTGCATGACCAACGCAATAATGAAATATACAATCTTATATCGCGGATCTAGGATTATCCAGAAACAAAGATGGTGAAAATATTTCGAAAGGTGAAATTTATGGTGTCATGCCCTATGTTGCTCCAGAAGTTTTATTAGATGGAAAATTTATACAAACAGCTGATATTTATAGCTTTGGTGTTATTATGACCGAGATTTCAACAGGACAAAGATCTTTTGATGAACATAAATTTGATGTTAAACTTGCTGTAAGGATTTGCAAAGGAGAACGATCAGAGTTTGCTCCTGGAACTCCTGATTGCTATGTTGAATTAGCTAAGCAATGCATGCATTCTGATCCAAGTAAACGACCTGGTGCTTATAATTCTGATGATAAAGTTAACAGTATTTATCATGCAATTTATAGTTGGTTTGAGAAAATAACAAGTTCAGATGAAGATGAAATTAAAAAGTAATTCTTAGATTCCAAGCCTTACTCCGGGTTATACTTCAAATTAATACTCTGGGTTGCACTCCGGGTTGTACTTCAGGTTGTATTCCGGGTTTACTCTAGGTTAGTGCTCCGGGTTATAAGAATAATTTTGCACCAGATCACTCCATATGGAGCAACCCGGGTTATAAGAATAATTTTGCTTTAGGCCACTCCATATATGAAGCAACCCAGGTTTTGCTCTATATCTGGAGCAACCCAGGTTCTGCTCCATATCTGGAACAACCCGGGTTATAAGAATTAATTTTGCTCCGGGTTATTATATAATTCTTAAAACACCAACCCACTCAAACTATAAATTAGAGTGTAACCCGGTTTGTTCTACTCCATTAACAACCCTAATTATGTTAAAAATGCCAATGGCGTCCCATGCCTTCACAGTTAATGGGTTAAAAAAAATAAAATAAAATAAAAAATTATGTTTAAAAAAATTATAATATTAACTTTTTTATTTAAATTCGTCGTATCAAGCCGATTCTACTCAAATTAATTTTGATATTTCTAACATAGAATCTTTGCTAACAAAAGACCCTTTGGGAACATAGTCCTAACAAGTCATTTTGTTAGCAAGAGGTCTTATGGTTGACCAATCAGAATTTAAAATTTCGTGTAACGATGCATATAGTTTAGGGTTTAGTTCCAAGTTTACGTTAGGATTAGGGTTAGGGTTATCAATGTATCGTAGTGAAAAGGTTTCTAACCTAAAATTTTGCAAGAAATTGTTTTTTTTTTTTTGTTAGAATGCAGAATACAGTTTCATAAGCAAAATTTTGAGTTTTCGCCTCTTAAATTTTTTAAAAATTTGAAAAATTTTAAAATAGAACATTTTAGTCTAAGTGAAAATGTACTGTAGTAGGAATGACAAGGGTGAAGTGATGCCAACAATATTTACGAGTATACCAACCATGAAAAAGTTAAAAAACTGAAATCAAGTTTGGGAAAATTATTCCGAGACAGTACCTTGGTATTCTCTACATGGACAAAGAAAACCGTGTCATCTTGTACTCCCAAACGATGAACCTTAGAACCAAGAAGATAATTTCTCCGTGTGCCCAGTGTCAGATGGTGCAAAATTCGATAAACCATCGTGCATTAATTCTCCCATTTTAGTTGAAATATTAAGTGAATCTGATGGTTGTCGTGTGACAACTTCTCTTTGCCAAACCGAAGATCCTAAAGAAAATACTATGATGGAACTTCAGTGTTATGTAATGGATGTTAAACAGTTTGATTTTAATCATATTATTATGTCGGAAAAGGTTATTGTGAAATGCTTTTTATGGATTGTTTTGGTCGCGTGTTTGATTGGGATTCAGATGGTCTCTCGGGGATTATTTCAAAGGAGGAGTCTGAAAAAAAAACTATGATGATTGGATAGCATGGGACGTTTTAGAGGATGGAACTGTGATTGTGCTACATAAATGTATGTGTATACATTTTTCTCACATTTTACCTTAATCTTTATTTTATTGAAAAATAGTAACTTTTAAGCTAATAAAATTTCAGGTTATTAAAAAAACAAAATAGTTTGTGTATGCGTAAAATTTTGTTGCCAACAATAGATTTTATTTAATCATTGAACTTTATAATTTTATTGTGTGTATATATATAAATTTGTTAATAAAGCTATTTTGATTATTTATTATAAGATCCTTCATCTCTGCTAGATAGTTCAAAGTCTTTGTGATGATTTGTTCTAGTGTGCAAGAGTTGTATCTACAAGTAAGTAGATGAACTGTTGTTTTGAATTCTATTCTACATCTCGGGCATATATGGTTATGTTTCTTCAGATTTCTGTAATATAGTTTTAGGTGGTTCAGAGCTCATCTGCTAGGATTTTTATCTTAAAATTTTTTATCTTTGAGTTTCTAGGATTTGTGTAGAGTGTAGTAGATAGGTTATCAATCATAAGATACTGTAGTGTAAGTTTCTAGTTTACTGATACAATTTTCTTCTGTTGTATGTTTTGGTTTTGTTTATGCTATCGAATCCCATTAGTAGCTGCTATAATTTGTTTACATTGTTTTCTGATTGTTGTTATAGTATTGTGACCACTAAAACATATTGTATATATATTGCGAGTATAATTTTGTGAGAGGTAATCTGCACGAATATAGTAATTTAGTAGTTGTGATGAGATTAGCTCCTTATCAATACTAAATGAAACTTGTATTTTGCTAAGAAGGGTATTTAGTATAATTAGATATGAGCTAAAATTAAATTTATATATTCTTAGTAGCTCGTATCTATGAAATTGTATATATTTGAGTGTATTTAATATTGTGGCTGAATTAGTGATCAGGTCTAATATATTTAGCCTATTATATGTTATCAGAATATATATCAGTATTGTGAGAGCTACATGTAGTTGCAATGGCCAGTTTTTATTTGTAAAGTGCTATGCTATTGGATGCATATCTATATTAATTATAGCTAACATATATGGCTGATTTTCATTTTGTTGTGTTGGAACTATTAGATATATTGTCGTATTTATTTTATTCTTATTAAGCTCACTAAGTTTCATTCAATATCTTGTGTCAATATCAGAGAATGCTAGTAAAATATTGTGTAGTGTCATTGTTTCTGTATAGTTTATTGTTAGTGAAGAATTATATATATCAGCAAGATCTGTTTGTTATATAAATGTACTAGCTAGATCTCATATATTTGCATGTATATTTAAATTACTATCTACTTGTATCCTGTATAAGTATTCTCTAGGTATAACTTGTGAGCATTTTTTCTTTTCTAGTACTAGGTCCTTGAATGAATATCCTTTGTATGAAGTCAGTTTGCCACTTGCTGTGATAACGTAGTATACTAATGTTGCCTTTATACTATTATAGCTTGATATTTTTTCACACTTGAGCTCTGATGTAATTGCCTATTTTTTATATTGTAGGTACTATTTTGTTAGTATGTATGGATTTGGGGTAACAAATCTCAGTAAAGGATTTATAAAGGAAGTGATCAAGTCCACAATCTTATTGAACCATTTTGGTTTATGTCCTCTTGGTATTTTATTATAGTTATTGTATATCTGTTTCCAATTAAGGGTCTCTGTATTGTTGTAGTTTAGAATTTATTTGATATCAAAGATATTATACTTTGTTAATTTAGTTTTTAAGTAATGTGTATTCTGTTGAGTTTCTAATATTGTGTTTATTGAGGTACTAGGTGTTTTCAGTGAAATTGGCCATGGATTAGTATATCTTATTAATTGTAGCTAGAATAAATGTAGTGCATATATTGCTCACGCTATATATGATCAATATTGCTTCATAGAGAATATAGAAGGATATTCAAGTATTGATAAATTTGTTGCTGCAGCATCCTGTAGTTGTTGTAATCTACTTTTTAGTGTTGATTTATAAAAATTAATAGAATTAATTTCTCTAGTTAGGTTTGTACATAGATGCAGTTGTTGTTGCTGTTCTATTGATTTAAGTGCATAGATATAAGGATATGTTAGAAATATGTTAAGAATTGAACATGCTATTGACACTTTATTTCTAACTAATTCTGTATATGATTTTATTAGTGCAGCAAGTTGGTTATCTGTCAGATAGCATAAGTTGAGTCAATATAATAAACGAGGAATTAGCATACTATTGATTATGTAAATTGCTTGTTTTTCTGTGATTTTTGCCTATTTTAATTTTTGAAGATATTGTCTTGCTTCTTGTAAGATTAACTCTTGTACTAGTTTGTATATAGAATCATCTGTAAACCAGGTTTCCAAATATTTAAATGCTGTGTCTACATAACTTTGTAGAACCAATTTTTCATGAAAAGTGATAGCTTGATCTTCACTCTCTGTGTTTGTATAGAAGACTGATTTTAGCAGATTAACTTAGATATTGTGTAGAGTATAGAAAGAGTCTGCTGTATTTAGTATATATAGGAGGTCTTTCTTATTGTATGCTATCTATACTGAGTCATCTATATATGCCATTACAGGTATATTTATATTTGGGGTTTCCTCTGTATGCTTTGTTGTTAACTTATATCCTCTGTGTTCTGCATTTACTCAACTTATTAAAGGGTCGTAGAATATTCTCCAAAGGATAGATGAGATGGTTTCCCTCTGATCAATCTCATCTTTAACATTATATTTGTTTGTAAGCTTATAATCTGTAATTACTTAATTTGTACAGTTAGTAAACAGAGAGGTTATAATTGAGATAAATTTTTCTAGTAGGCAAATACGCTTTATTGCTTTTGCAAGAGTTGGTATATGAACTGTGTCGTAGGCCTTCAACATATCCTGTAGTACTATCCACAATTCTTTGTCATTTTCAGATGCATCTTTAAATATATGATTTAATGTATTGATATTATTATAAGTTGATTAGTATGGTAGTGCTGCAGAGTTACATAGTGAAAAGATTTTATGCTGTGCTAGTTTAGTAGTAAGACAGACTGTTAAAATCTTTGTAAAAAGTTTTTGAGTATGCTCAATTAGTATTATAGGTCTAGTATAGCTCAAATCATTATTGTATTGTGAATGCTTTGAAACTGGCCAAATATTTGAATTTAACCATGCTTTAGGTACACTTTCTATTTGTAGATAGGCATTCATGATATTTAGCAGAGACGATATTGCAATTTCTGGGAGTTGCTAAATTATTTCATTTAATATTTGTGAAGACCCAGGAGCCTTATTATATGGTAATACTTTGATTACCTTTTGAAGTTCCTCAATTGTAATTTTTGTTATGAGGTTACTATAAATAGAAGATGATAAACTCTCTATTAGTTTATAATATTTCTCCTATAAGTGCCAAAGATTACTGTTAGGTGGGTTATATTTTGTCCAATTTTCAAAGTGTTTACTCGTATATTCTTTTATGTCTCTTGGTTCTGTGATTATTTCATCTGCTGTGATAATTCTCTAGAAGTCTACTTTTTTTTTTTTTTTTTTGAGAATACTATCTAGCATTTTTGAAGTATTACTTTGAAAGTTGTCATATCTTTTATTAATAAAGAAATTTATTCTTTCTGTTTGTTCAAGATTTAATTCTAAGTTTCGTGCTTTCCATAATTCATCCTTTTTTTTATACAAAATTAATTTGAGTGGTGAGTTAGAGATTGATAAGTCATTCTCAGTCAGACATAGAATTTTTTGCTC